GCGCAGAGTACGGCATGCCCCGCTCCCCGCGATCGAAAGCCATACGCGGTCTTAAGCTTCAATTTATATTTCAGAAAAGCCGCGCCAGGACAAGGACCACCACGATTAAGACAGAGACGGAAGCAATCCAACCCCCGGCACACCCCATCCCAAAACGGTACAACGGCCAAAAAACCAGTACTCAGTCCTGTAAAGCGCGATCCGAACCGGCAAGACATAACCTCTTCGGGAACTAACTAATCGTCTCAAAGATTCGTCCCGCATTCCAAGAAGCCACCCATACGCTTGGCCCGACAGACAGCCAGGGTAGCTAACCTCGAAGGTGGAGCCGCGAGTCCTGGCTACCCGCCAGGACACGCGGCTCCACCGCGGTCTAGGCCATCCACAGAAGCCCGCGATCAGTGGCACGAAACGTCTCAATGACAGGGCTCGGCCGCCCCGTTCCCCACGAGTCACACCCACTCTAATACACAATTCGCGTATCCTTCATTTGAAAGAAGCAGGTCACGAGGGGTTAGGGAGAGCAGGAATCGCATACACGTACGCCCGCTCTCCCCGGCGCCAATTACGTGACCGCAATTAAGTCCACCCGCGAGTAACACGCGACGCCGACCGCACGGGCCGGCCCGTGCACCCCGTCACAATTCCCACAACGGTTCCGAGCATCTTCCAGGGTCGCGTGATTCTAACCTGCAAACCGTCGCGAACCCCCGAATCGCGGCAGAAAACCGTCCCCGAGCACTCACTTCACTCCACTTAACCTGAAAAGAGGAAAAGAGGGGACACACAATATAATATTCGTTCAACGATATCCCTCGATGTGACAAGGCAGGTCCGTATTTTATTATTACCCGTGCGTGCCTTTAGAAAGGCAAGCGCACTTCGTCTACCTGCAACAAACAAGTTAGTGACGGGCAACATATCCTTACCTCTGCCCGCCACTTATTAACACACATATAACACATTAAAATATATGTACAGTCAGTGGTTAGACCCGGCGCTGAACTAGCAGGATCATAACCAGAACACGGATTCTACTCCACGTAACACCGCGCAACACAACGTGGAGCCGCGGTCAAGTTTATACGTCCCCCGCGCACACGCTCGGAACAACGCGGTCAATCCATCCCGGCCCCATCAAGGCACGATCACCGCACGAGAAGCGCAGCATCCCGACCGGAATAACCCCGTCAAAAGCAGCGCAAGACACGAAAGGCGGAACTCAAATGGCCGTTCCCGCACGTCAGCATTAGTGATGCGCGATTCTGATTCGATTATTTGAGAATCGATCTTTTTCTCAAAATTAATCGCAATTTTTGATCGATTATTCAGACGGTCGATTATTTATGAATCGATTACTTTTTCACGATTTTTTGGGTAATTGATTATTTTCAAATTTGTATATATAATGACAGAGAATTCCACGGTAACAATTTTTAGTGTTTATTTATTGCTTGAAGCCTTGCGTCTATGAGACTAGAACTCAGTCAATGTTCTCGAGCCAAAAAATGTGTAACCAATCATCTTGCAGCTTTTCCGTAAAAGATGCAATTTGATTGACTACATATTTCTCGGAACTGGAACTTGGACAAGTTCTTGGATCATGAACACAAGGATTTACGCCAGGCTTACTTTATCTGTAAGCCCGGGTCTACAATAGGTGTAGTAAGCCTTAAGTCGTAAGAAATTGACCAATCACAGTCTAAAGTGAGGAGAATAATCGTTTGTGATCGATCAATTTCTTACGGCTTAAGGCTTACTACACCTATTGTAGACCCGGGCTTATCGCATATAAAATTGCATAACTGCATAGCATAAGACTGTCTAGACCAATGAACATGCGATGTAAATCAATATGGCGACTTAATGCTCGATACTCATTGGCTTAGAAGGCTCTTGTGCTATGCATATGCAGCTATGCAACGTTGTGTGCAATGGCCCTTAAGGTGCAAATTCATGGGACGCCGGTTTCAGCGTTGTACATACACGTATCGGCATAAATGTCGTCCTTATTTATATAAGACGCACACACACAAACAAGCGGGTAATTAATCCGCGAACACATTAATCAGAGTATTGAATACCGGCCTATACTCACGAGCGGGTGTACTACAGCGCCGCGTAGTGGTGGCGACATTTTACAGTTAGCAAATTCGTGCCCATCTACAATAGAGATTAAACCCTAAGCCTTAAGAAATTGACTAATCATAGTCGAATACTACGTATTGCGGATCGCGGATCACGGTGCAAACCCATAGAGCAGAACGGTGTACGCAGAAAATCGCGGAACGACAGCTTCGACCAATCACGAAAACATCGGAACACTCGTGATTGGTCAAGGCTTCCGTTCCGCGATTTTCTGCGTACACCGTTTCGCTCTATGAGTTTGCACCCTCATGGCTCCTGCCCACTGGACGTGGTAACGTTGCCGCGCGGCGGAACTTGGCTAGGGAAACCAGCACTAGCCAATCAACGTCTCGTGCGCTCGGATGTGGATTGGCTAGTGCTGGTTTCCCTAGCCAAGTTCCGCCGCGCGGCAACGTTACGGATTCAGACTGAACGCGATGAGCGATGAGCGACGAGCGATTATCCAATGGGCGTACAGGTTATATGGGAAAGCGTATAGTTTTCCTATAAAGACTGTACGTCCATTGGATATCGCTCGTCGCTCATCGCTTACCGCGTTCAGTCTGAATCCAGCCTTACTTGTGTAATAAAGGGGCAAAAAGCGGGAAGTCCAAACAAAACAAATGACTCGTGAATCTCGTGATACACTGAAGCGAATCAAGAGCTGGTGATACATTGAAACGAATGTGAACATAAGGCGAGTTGACTTTTTAAGATTTATTTCAACAAAATGTCTGTCTCAAATCTTATCCAAAAACGAAGAAAGAGTTCTGTGCATGAGTTTTTCATAAAGCTTAACGACATTTCAGTACGATGTACCCTGTGTCAAAAGATTTATAAAAACCATGGAAACACGATTAATTTAATTAGCCACCTACAACGAAAGCACTCAGGACATATTAATCCGGGAGATAATTCTGCACAAAAAACAATATGCTGTACGCAAACGTCTGTCGATCACGAATCCGAAGATGACCCTACATTGACTGAATCTCGTCCGGCTTCACCATCAATATTGGCAACTGTTCCAATTAAACGATCAAGATCTTACACTCCGATACATAAGACAAATGCGAGTAACCCCGGTATAATTTGTTCATCAGAGGATTCTTCGACTCTAATCCAGAAGCAACCATCCATCGACAAAACTTTTCACAAAATCAAAGCATACGCTGGTAATTTATAGAACAGTCATATCAAGAATATCTCTAAGCATATCGTAGCTTATTTGAATTTTATTATTTCAGATGGTGGTAGCAAAACGTCTAAGATTACGAACGCTCTCATGTATATGATAGCGGTAGACCGACAGCCTTTCTCAGTGGTAGAGGATAAAGGATTCAGGAATCTCTTAAGTGTCGTGGCACCTCTATACACTGTGCCATGTCGAAAAACTATTACAAAGCGGATAGACGAAAAATACGAGCTACTTAGTTCGAAAATTAAAACCATGCTTTCAAAAATCGACACCCTTCGTTTAACTACAGACATCTGGACAGAAACATTTAATACCCAGAGTTATATTGGCATCACCGCACATTATATCAATTTTGAAGGTATGCAACTGGAATGTCTATCTTTGGGAATAAAGGAGCTTGAAAAATGCCACAATGCAGAATATATATCGACAATTGTAAGCGAGATAGTAGATGAGTGGTACATTAATGCCGATTCAGTAGTAGCTGTAATTACAGACAACGCTTCCAACATCGTGAAGGCAATACGGGATACGTTTGGGTATCGAAGACATATGCCGTGTTTCGCTCACACCCTAAATCTAGTTATCCCAAACTCAATCACTGCAACACCGGAATTCCAGACTGTGGTAAAGAAAGTGAAATCTATTGTCACATACTTCAAACGTAGTGTGAAAGCAGAAGATGCACTCAAGGACTTGCAGACATCGGATCTTAAAAACGACGGACTGGTTTTGAAATTAAAGCAGGAATGCGAAACACGTTGGAATTCGATTTTTTATATGATCGAAAGATTCGTTCAATTGGCAAATCACGTGAATAGCGTATTGATTACCCTTCCGCGAAAAAAGCAGGATGATATACCAGAGATGACAACACACGCCGAGCTACAAATTTTGAAAGATGCCTGTGCCATTTTACGTCCGGTCGAACGCGTTACCACTGAGATGTCGAGCGAGTCTTACGTCACGTGCAGTAAAATCATCCCCATCGTTAATTGCCTGATAAAAACTTTGGAAAAACTCACAACTGAACATGATATTTCGGAATGTCTGCACAAAAATATTTTACGAGAACTTTACAGAAGATTTCACAGCGAAGATTTAAATGTCGAAAAAAATATTTTTTTAGCTACATCCACTTTACTGGACCCACGCTTTAAGAAACTGCACTTCCGTAGCCCATTAGCTGTTTCTACAGCAATAAGCAAGATTTGTCAGTTGATGAAAGAAAATCAGGAAGGACCTCAATCCACTGTTTCCGTCGCAGAAAGTACATCAAATGTTACTGAAAAAACAGAAGATTTGTGGAACGTACATGACGAATTGATTGCATCTTCATCAACAAATTGCGACGAGCCTGGTGGCATACCAATCGAATTTCGACAGTTTCTTAATGCCAATGTCATCAGCAGAAGCAAGGATCCATTAAAAGTTTGGCAAGAACTGAAGGATATTTACCCAAACGTATACAAAGTCGCCATGAAATACTTCGTGATTGTGGGAACGTCTGTCCCATCTGAACGTTTGTTTAGTGCTGCCGGAGATATTATTAGTGCGAAAAGAAGCAGAATCGCGGGAAAAAAAGCGTCACAGATTATATTTCTAGGATCTCTACCTGAAAAATATTGGAACTACAATACAGGTACCTGAATACATCGAATCGACGTAAAACTCAAGATAACGTAAAGTATAAGTATATTTTTAAATTTTGGCAATACAAAAAAGTTTAACGTTAAATACTTTTCAATAAAATAATAAAAAGATTTATAGCATATTGCAATTGGATTCGTTTTATTACTAGAAACCTTTGAAGACAATTAATAATTATTCATTGTCTTATTTACATTTTTATGTTATAATTAGTTAGTATTAATCAGTATTCTTAAGTTGTGAGATATTTGTAGCTTGTGTAATATTTAAAAACTAGAAGTACGATTATCTTTCAGAAGTCTGTTTCTCTTGTCTAAGCAGAAGTTGGTCGAGTGCTTATAAATGTTGATGTCTTTGTGCTAGTTGTGTTGTTATCTATCGTTTTCGCAAAACTCATGTCGGTGTGTACACACACACGCGCGCGCACCCACACACACATATGGCTCCAGTAAAAATCCGATTTTTAATCGATTATCTATAATCGATTAATTTTACTCCGATGAATCGAATCGCAAATTCTTTTTTGTTAAATTTAATCGATTGTGAAAATCGATTTTTTTAGAGACATCGTCGCATCACTAGTGGAGCCCCCCCGAAGGGGGGGGGAGCGGAACATACTGTCTCCACGCATACATTTTTCTACTCACATATAAGTGACTCCCCTCCACCAAATGTAGATGGAAAAATGTATGCGTGGAGACAGTATGTTCCGCCCCCCCTTCGGGGGGGGCTCCACTTCGTTAAAAATAACCCTACCCACCCTATGTCAGAGGTGTGGAGTGGATCTCGCTTCACGTGGAAAGTTGTAAACCCATGTGGAACCGTACAACGCGTGGAATTAGTTTGGCCCTCCCCCCGCCCTTGCTCTTTCCTTACCTGCGTTCAATACTGAAGGTAAATGAAAGCATTTATTGTACATAGGATGTCAGAAAATTATATTTTAGTCGTTAAACATTTTTGTTTATAACTTTTTAATAAACACCGACCGATAGCAAAAACTTCTTGAAGGTCACTCAGGGTCATGATCTTTACAACATATGTCAAGATCAAGTTCATTTGGTTGACCTTATCTAAATATTTACCAAAAAACGTATTAAACATTTCAGTTTTCAATTTGTTATATCTCCTAAACCAATGCCGTCCCCCACTTGATTCTTGCAGGGAATTACTCAGAAAACTCTCCCCTACAACATACCTAAGTGGCGAGGAAATCGGTGAGGTGTGACCTATTCTGCATATTTACCGATCATATATACAGCTATAATAAAATAATAAAAAAATATATAAGTAACAATTTAATATTATTTATTACTTATTGTATACTGTTCGCGAATCTCGCGAGGAGAGTTCGCTGGTTACCGCTGCGGATGGAAGCAGGGTGAGAGGACTTAGCGGTGAGAGGCTCAGGGAACGAATGCACGCTTGCGAGGGTAGAAATCACGTGATCGTAACTCGGATCAATTGGGTAAAATATCGTGTCACAGTTTAATAAGAGTAAGATGCTTACAGTTGAGCAGTCTATGAATTAACGGTGGATGAGAAGTCTTTAATCACTTGCACGGGTCGATATTATTTATCGAGAACCGGCCTCGTGATGTAGATGCCCGTGAGCCGTGTCCACGCGGCGCCGGCGTGCGCGATGCGTGGTAAGTTTGAGCCGCCAGTGATGCTGTATCCCGAGCTGTCAGGGTTGAGTCGCACTGCTGAGTTCACTACGTGTCCGCACTGAATCTATTCTTCGATGAGAAAAGTCCACAAGAGCACTCTCAAGTCTTAAGCACTACACGACGCGTGTACTAGGTACGGTTGCCATGAGCCAAAAGCCCCGGTAACGAACGTGAAGAAGCGCCGTCGCCTCGTGTCGCGATCGGGCATGCGCGCGCAGCGCTCCTGCGGCGCTGCACGATCTGACCCGGCTGATGCTGCCATCACGCCGGCGACGAACTGACCGAGATTCAGAAATGAATCTCGAACATATACTATAATGTATATGTTTACATGGTGTATTATACATACAGGGTGTCTGATGCAAAAGTAGCCAACTTGAAAATAGTGGTAGATTGGGTTAAAGTAAGGAGAAATATCATGTGCCGCGGTACAAAAGTAACAGTAGTTATCGAGTAATTAATTTACACGTCTGAGCGAATGAGGATGCAGAATAGGGTAGGCCGGACTCGGAAGGCATTTAAGAAAATCGATCGATGAGCGGGAGGTGGAGCGACGCGCGAGATACTATGTTTATGTTTCGGGTCGCCCGTCGCTCGCGCTCGCTGCCGCGCTCGCCGCCCGCGCCGCGCTCCCCGCCGCGCCTAGGTTTTTTCCCACCACGGTGTATCTCGCGCGTCGCTCCACCTCCCGCTCATCGATCGATTTTCTTAAATGCCTTCCGAGTCCGACCTACCGTCTCCTGCATCCTCATTCGCTCAAACGTGTAAATTAATTACTCGATAACTATTGTTACTTTTGTACCGCGGCACATGACATTTCTCCTTAGTTTAACCCAATCTACCACTATTTTCAAGTTAGCTACTTTTGCATCAGACACCCTGTATACATAAAAATAGTCATCTTATTGTTAGTTTCAAAATTTCAGATCAATCTAATAATTTATTTACATCAAGTAATGTTTTATGACTTGAGCCAAATTGGGGCCAAAGTAATTGAATTTGAGACGACAAACAGGCATTCCGAATGACCTGTCAAAATATTCGGAACAAAGCATGAAAATTTGGAACTATTCCGAAAAACTCGGAATGTATGATCACTTTAACAAATGCGTTATTATATTTGTAGCAAAAATATTCAAACAACGTACCTGGAGGAAAATTCTGTAATTCTCCCTTATCTCATCACAATTGTGATCCAGTCCAGTTGTAAACGTATTCTTTTTAAAAGAAGCAATCTTAATTGTCAGCAATCAACAGCATCGTATTTGACATATGCAGAGATAATCACAGCAAATATCACGGTATACTTGAAACCTGAATGGAACTGTTGCAAGGAATGTGAAAAAGTGTACTATGTCGCAATACCGGCTTTACGTGATGAGAGCCTGAATAATATAGGTCTTGTTTTTATAGGTAATATACAGGGTGAGTTAAAAAAATTTTCCTAAGAGATCCCACACAGCAAAACAAGTTTCAGAAAGCTTTCCGAAAGATAACTTGGAAACTAATATTGAAATGTAAAATTGAAATCATTCAGAAATATCTTGAAACGTTTCATCAAAATCACATGTCATTGAAAGCTTTCCAAAAGATACCTTGGAAATTAATATTGAAATGTAACATTGAAATCATTCAGAAGTATTTCTGAAACGTTTTATCGAAATCATTTATGATCCTTCTCACTGAAATATTTCAGAAATATTACGAAACATTTCAGAGAAATATTTCGTACGTAATCTCTAAAACATATATTATTGAAAGCTATCCAACATATAACTAGGAAATTAATATTGAAATGTAATATAG